AATGTAAATCTGATCACGCCCCTTCCTCTCTGTCTCCAAACTCCCTCATGGCTCCCCGGCACCCTTGGCGTGAAACCCACACACCACATCACCGCTTATGAGATCTTACCTGGCTCCTGTGACCTCCTTCGCCTTCAGTGACCCCTACTCTCTTCCTATTCACTCCTCTCTGGACCCTCACTGTTCCTCCAGCATACTCAGCCCATCCCCACCTCAGGGCCTTTGCATATGCTGTGCCCTCTGCCCAGAGTACTCTTTGTGAATTATTATCCCCATCTGATCCGTCAGGAAAGGTGCAAAGAGAGGAGCTCACATGCTCAGTAACATGCATCAAATTGGTGGAAGTCAGAATTTGCACTCGGGCCCATCTGACTGCCTACTCAAGCCCTGTCGCACCCGTGGGACATTTAAGACAGGCCTCCAAACCAGTGCACCATGGATCTGGATGATTCTCAGCCCCTCTGGGTCTTGCTGCCTCCAGCTAGGTACCAAAGACCCTGAGGCCTCGGACCCAAACCCCGCTGCTCAGGGAGCTCCTGGGCCAAGCTGACCCCTAAGTCTCCGAGCGTCCCTACTGATGTGGCCGCAATTCTTCCACCCCACTTTCTGCCCTTCACACAGAAGGATGGCAGAGTCTTCAAGGACGACACAGCCAAAAATAATCGGGCCCCGACCTACCTCCCAGAAGTGGGGCAGCCCCGCCCAGCCACCTGGCACCGCGGAGGTAATTAGTGCATGTGGCAAATGAGGATAATTAGGTCTGTGGGAACCAAACCGCAGATCCAGGTTTGGAGTTTGGAGGGGGCTCAAGTGTTGGCCACCCCCACCCCCACCCCTCCCAGGTCCTGGGAGCTCAAGTCCATAACCCAGTGTCAGACCCCCTCCCCTTAGCCCTTTCACGCCTTCCTGGAGGCGGCTTGTTTAATGGATTTACTTTGTCCCTGTGCATAAGTTGAGTTGGATCTGAATTTAAGGTGGGATCACTTTCAAGTGATGAAAAGTCACCAACATTGAGTCACCAAACTCTCCTACGCCATGACCCCCATGCTGGGAGATGCCAAGCCCAAGAGAAGCATCAGCCCCGCCCTTGAGGTACCTTCAGGCTGGGGGAGTCAGAGCTGGACACAGGCACCCCTAGTCCATAGGGATCAGGGTTGGCTCAGAAGGAGGGAGTGTGTTGGGGAAGGCCCAGAGGAAGACATGGAAGGGCTTGTCAGAGAAGAGGGCATTGGAGGTGGGACTTTGAGGGACGAATAGGAGCTTTTCAGGAGGATAAGGTCTGGTGGCTGGCCCAACTGGCCACGGCTGGGGGAATGGGGAGAAAGAGGAGGAGTGTGGCTGGGGGAGCATCTAAGGGTCCCAGAGATAAAGATTTAGAAATCCTCATGCCATTGGACCTCCTTCTGTCCTTGAAAGCTCATGCCTAGTCGGGATTCTTCAACCCCTGAAAGAAAATCTTAAGAATTTGGCTCAGGATCAAAAACCACATGCCCAGACGGCCAAGAATAAATATAATGTTTGTAACAACCAGCATTTGTTAAGCTCCTGGGGTCATGCCCTTTGCACACAAAGACTTATTGGATCCTTACAGGAAACTTCAGAAGCGAGTACCATTTTTATGCCCATTTTATAGATGGAGTAACTAAGGCACAGAGAGGGAAAATGTCTTCTTTAAGGCCACACTGCTGGTAAGAGGCAGGGCTGAGATGCACTCCCTGGTCACGTGACTCTGGAGACCATCAAGGATCAATACTGGGGTTTGGGGAGCCTCTCCTCCTTGAAGCATTTAAAGAGTTCCTGCTGCAGGTCAGTCCTGCTCTAGGTGCCGGGACAGAACCACAGAAGAGGTGGCTAGGAACCAAATCATGTCATAAACGGATCGAAGTGGCCACTGTCCTCCATACCATGAGATTGGGCATGTGGCTTTGGGGAAGGGTGACAGACTTCCCCTGATCTGGTGGGACAGGAACCCTCCAGGGAAGAGAGACAATTTAGCTTCAGTCCAAAGGTGGGTCCGATTTAACTAGGCAGAGGCCAGAGACTAACCCGGAAGAGCCACTCTGCAAATGCAGCTTCTCTAGAGCCAAATAAACTTGTTCTACTCTCTGCTTGGTCCCCTCTGTGACAGGAAGTTCATTTTCTGATATCCTCCCTCAGCACCAAGGGAAAGCTGTCGCTCATAATCAGTCACCCTGGGGTGGTGGCCTCTGCCTACACTGTAAGGACATCCCCAGGCAGGTCTCAGGCCGGGGTGGAGGTGGCAGCTTGGGGCAGCCATGCTCGGGGCAGTCTATGCCCAACACCTCCCGGAAGCCTGAGGGGGGCCTGGGAAGTGATTCAACTCCCACTCTCTCTCATGTCGTTGCCTTCTGCCCACACAAGGGGTAAAGTCTACCTGGGCCCCTCTCCTGGCCGCCCCCACAGAGTGGCCACATGGCCGTGGCCCTGCAGCCGGCCAGCACTCGGCCACACCCAGAGTGGCTACCAGAAGCCTTGGCCCTGTCGGCACCTTTCCCAGTTACTTAATTTTTTTTTTTTTCGTAATAAGGAAAAGTCACTCTTTGCACAGAACAGACGGTATTTTCTTTGTTCCCCACAATGTTCAAAGCGTTTTGTGGCTTCAGGCCTGAAAGCAAAGCCAAATCCTTTGCTTGTGCAGATGCCTTGTGAAGTTAGAAGCAGCTGGGGAAACTGAGGCCGCAGGCTCCGTTTCCCTAGCATTGGTGAGCAGTTCCTCTCATACTGGCTGAGGCTGAGGCTCCAGGATGGGCCAGCCCTCCCCAAAATGCCCCAGATCTGGTCATGACCCAAGTAATAAACAGGTAGTACAGGTCAGGGGTCGCACAGAAAGTGATGGGGGCATAGCGCAGAACACAGCGAGATCCCCCTCCAAGCCCAAGACAGAGAAGTTTCCAGGCGGAGAGGGGGCAGTGGTGCTGAGCCTGGAAGGACAAGGCGGAGTATATGCCTGCAGAAAGGTGGAAGGATACGGTTGGGCAAAGACCTGAAGCGAAATAAACCCTGATCTTGGCCTGGGAATAAGTCTCCGGAAACGACATGACCAGGAATTCACCTAAAAGTAATTTGAAGATAGCTACCAGCCTAGATGTAGGATTCTTGTCAGGGAAACAGAAATAAAGGAACAGAGAAAGGAGACGGGACGAAGAAGGTGAAAAACAAAACCGGTGAGGTGGTCGGCAAGGTCAAACATGAGGTTCAGGCAGCTCTCTGCCCATGGATCCCGGCCCCCTTGCTTTAATAAAATCGCCTTTTTTGCACCGAAAACATAACAAGACAAAACAAAACGTGAGGTTCAGAACTTTAGGGAACTGTGGGCCTTGGTTCTGAGGAGCTGCCGTGCCTCTGTCCATGAACCCAATGGCACTGTGTGACTTTGGAGGAGTCCAGAGAAAGGGCAGCCACAGGATTGACCAGCGGGCCCCACAGGTGGACTTGGGCCTGGGGAGGCTGAGCCTGGCTCAGCTCCAGAAGGACCGTCTCCTGGCAAGTGCATGAAGGGCTCCTTCTGACCCAGGCCCGAGGACCTCCTGGGGATTCACTCATTCGGTGGCAACCAGGCCCCAGTGTTCCCTCTGCCCTAGGTTCTGGGACCCTATAGCATAGCAGTACTGATAATCTGACCATGGCTGGCACTGCTAAGCCATCCTCTTGAGGGAGACCAGGTGGACAGAAGCCCGTCCCCGACTGGGGATCAGAGCTGGGTGGGAAGTCAAGCAGGAAGGATTCTGAACGGTGCACCCCTGATCAAGCCTCATTAAGTGCCTGCTGTTTGTCTCTCTCTCTCTCAGCCTCTTCCAGCTCCCCCTGCCTGTTTCTCTTTCATTTCCTGGTAACACCTACTGAGCACCTACTGTGTGCAGGCACCCACCTCTGTGCGGTAGAGAGGCCCCTGCCCCTGGATCCCTGTCAAGGGGAGAGGGAATCCCATCAAAAGCAGAAGATCATGACCTCAGGCAGTGAGAAACCGTGGGCAGCAGTGACCTGGAGGGTCAAGGCCACCCCTGACGGGACGATGAAGCCACACGCTCCTTCTGTCTCCTGTGTCTCTCCCCGGTCTTTCTATCTCTGGGTCTGGGTCTCTGTCCCCATCCCCACCCCCTGTCCCTCTTCCCCGTCCTTAACCCCTTCCCCGCCTGTCCTCTCCCGCCTTCCTCCCAGCTTCCGCCCCTCCCTCTCCCCCTCCCCACCCCCCCCACCCCCCGCCGCGGAGGGCCGGCAGGGGGCGCTGCGGGGCAGCCTCGGAGGCCCGGGGAGGCGGGGCGGGCGGCGGCCGCGTCGGGACCGGCCGCGATGGGACCGGAGGCGGCGCGG